AAACAGATCTTTCAAGCTTTCGTCCATGTATTAAGTTGTTTGTTGTATTTGGAGACTCACACGAACCTAAAATTTTAACATCTAATGGAAATAAATGCCTCCAGTGACGAATACGCTCCTGATAAAAAAAACCGCAAATAATTTATCTCTCGGCCAGTGCCTTATCGGGACATTTTTTTGAGAAATGCTTAAGGTCAAGGACAAGACTGACATTTTGCCCGCTCTTGAAATGCACTGCAGACGAAAAAAACTTCCGTTGCCCTTTATATCAGAACCGATTTTTGTCAGTGATAAGTTGAGGGTTTCATTATAAGAGGTTGGCTGCCCCAATACCAAAATACTCCTCAAGCTATTTTAATACTTGTTATCTATGGAGGGAGCGAAGGTCTACGCCATTGGCCGACATCCACCGTAGGTCACGGTAGCATTAAAAAAACTGAAGTCTGATAAGTCCTTCCAATGCTGCACCACATCATGCTGTGACTTTGACGAAATGCAAGGCCTGTTCGCGGATGACCGCCTGATTCTCTAAAACCCGTCATTCTGCGGACCCGTGACGGTTCGACTATCGAGGTCAACTATGTCTAGCGTGTGCTCCAGCAGGCTAGAAGTTAACGCCGTGATTTGCGCGTGAGTTAGTTTTAAGTGATGGTAGACTTGCGTGGTATCTACCTCACTCCTCTCCTCACCCGCCCTTATCCGGGTTCATGACGGAGCCGGAGGCGGGGTTAAGCGCAGATGAGGGGTTCTGTTCAGTTACAATTCCTATCACGTGATAATTGGCTGCATCTCTTAGGACACGAAATCAGCATGCGCATGCTCCCTGAGTTAGGCTAACGGAAAAAAAATTCAGAGGCTTTTACATGTGGCTACGGCTGTTAAAGTGGCTTATGCAGTACCCCATAATGCATTGATTTGACGTAGAAATACATCCACCTGTGTGGTACTCTCCAACAATCTTAGATTAGACGGCGACCGAAAAGCCGGAAACGATCATAGCGATCTCCCATATTTTTATCCGTATTTATGTTAGGCCGCATAACGAGGTCTTCAGATTACAGACACCAGGTAAACGCAATCAGCACACTTTTTCCTGCAACCGGATGGCTGATGGGCCAGTCCCAGAATGCTGGCGAAACTGTGCCCGGCAATTAAATTTGATCAATACTTTTGTTTCCAGGTAGACGTATGAAGGGGTAGGGGATGTGTCGGAACGCATTTTTAACCAATCATAGACGACTGGCATTACGAGAAAAAAAGACAGTGAATGGATCTGAACCTACCTCTTGTTGCCAAACCTCGAAGGATGCCTGCGGATCCGCTGCAGCTTCCAGTCGTTTATTCAGTTCGCCAAGTCTGGAGGAAAGAAAAGGGGGAGGAATAGCAGAAATTTCCTCGTTTGTCACGAAAAGTGTTGACAGAATAAATGACAGTAAAAACATCTTTCGCGTAGGGAAATTCAAAAAGAGGTGGTTCACGTAATTGTAGGCGGTAAGCAAATAGTCGTCAGGAAGTCGATGCAATTAAACATAAATTGCTACTCACTTATTGTGAGTAGTATAGTTAAAATGAGCTGTCAACAGGCCGCGAAAGGCATACACAATGCCTTGCGGTATTTATACGATGCAGCCGAAATACTGCCCCAACCCCATGCCAAATAACGGCTTCCCCTCCAT